GGACAGGAACTCTCTGAAGAACCACTTTGAGACGTGTAAAGACAGTATGGGGGGGGTCAGATGAATCCTTAATGAGCAGCGCTTGGCAACTGTGGGGACGAAGAACTGCCCTGAGACAAGGGGGCACTGAGGGCGGGGTCAGGAAATGAGATTTACTAAAGCTTTGGTCCCTCGAGCTCTTCATTCAGAGCCCAGTCCCTCAGTAGTACGTGACCTTTAACCCTGTGTGGACAGTTTTGCCCCTTGCAAAATGGAGAATATGAATTTCGTGTACGTGAAGGCGATGCAGCCTCGGTATTTTATGGAGATTGACAGCATGACCTTTCTGACGTTAGAATAAAAACGGCGTGTTTTATCGCTGCAGCTTCCTGTCGGGGACGTTGTAACTCGAGCTTTCAAACAGCAGCTTTTCCATCACACGAGCTCGCTGTCATCATCGCTCCTCTCTAATCCCGGCCGCACTCCACGGTGTGTGTTTGGCTCTGATGATCTGATTAGTCGACTATCAAAATAATCATTTGTGGCGGCCCTACTGCTAGTAGATCCAACAATACTGCAATGAGAGGCAAAAAACTGCTAGTTATGAAATAATACTCCTGAAACTACTAAGAAGTACACGGCCTGTACAGCCAGAGGTACTAGAAATACTGCTGGAAGAGCCAGAGGTACAGGACTGTTTCCAGAATACTACGATGGAAATCAAGAACATTACTGCACATACTGCTGAAATATTGCCAGGAAAGCCAACAGTACCACAGTTATTACTATTACTGCATTTTTCAGACCATGAGGCGCATTAAGCGAAACAAAACAGGCAGATAAATCAAACTTTACTCAGCTCAATCTTCTTGCTTCCTCCACGTCTGTACCGTTGATTCTTTGAGAGCAGTTTGAAGTACTCTGGGTCTCGTTGTACTTTGTTCAGGTGTACCCGGAGCTGCCGGAGCCGGCCTGCCTGCCTTCGTCATCCTTCCTCACCTGCTCATCCGATAACACCATCAGACTGTGGCACTCCGACCCCGCCGGCGCACACACAAACCTCTACAGCAACGTGAGCCTGAGGCAGTAACAAAACCAAATTACACTCTTTGTTTGTCTCTGACGACTTCCTGTCTG